TGTCCTTCTAACTCTGGTTTCCTGCAAACTGGTTAGTTTGAGGCCCGATTAAGTTAATTTTTAAGTTAACTCAATAGGTGGCGCTTTGAACTTTCTGTTGAATTGCATGACCTGATAACACTTTCTGTGATACTGATTGATAAGTAGTATCAATGGTGGGTGACTGATATCTCCCTATAAAGTTCTCTCTGAATTTCATTTAATAGATTTGGCAGTCTTTGATGATCATTGCCTGGAACTATTTCATTAGGGGTTGCAAAATGGTGACTTTTCTTACGCCATCATTCCTTCTACTTTTATTAGCTGGAACTCTATAAATAAAAACTTTCTTGCAGGAACCATTTGGTTAACCTGAACTATATAATTTATTCATGAAAGACAAGATAAATACTTGATTCTTTTTTTTGTGTCAGTTTTCAGAATAATGAATTGATGTCATAATAACTTCCAGTAGGGACTAGTGGTTTTTATCTGAAGTATAATTCTGAACTCACAGATTTTTATATATATATTTTTTTCTATTTCAGTCCATTATATTCATTATTTCATTTGATGTTCAGATTATCCCATTTTAGGTCAGTGGAGACTGACCTAATTGGCCTTTTTGAAATGATTTTATTATTATTCTTTGCTAGCAAGGGAGCCTCTTTGCTTTGTGTCACAATTTTTCCAGGCTCACCTTATAAATTTCTATCCTAGAGCAGGAATTAGACATTTCTATAATGAGCTTTGATTCTTTTTAGTGGAGAATGAGATTTACGGAGCAGAGTCTAGCTAGGATCTTGGGATGTTTATTGCTATGGAAATTGTCATTGATTCTGGGTATTTTTAATGGAAAAAGAAGAATCCCCCAAAATCAGAGAAAAAAATACTGAAATAAATGAACACAACTGTAGAACACATTGAGGGCATAACCACACAAATAGCATGTTTTTAAAACAATACTTTGATCATGTCTAGTATAATACAGTCTAAGGATAAAAAGTACAAAAAAATAATATGCATTCAGTAGTCTTAATATCATTAATAATACAAATACTGTTATTTTAAAATTACCTTAGGCATATTATAGTATAATACAAAGAAGTAATTATGTTAATATCATTGGAATCAAGGGTTTCAACATAAAAGAAATACAAGTATAGACTTTGTAATCTTAAGTTTGAATTAGAGTTAACAACATGAATTTACATATCTCTATCTACTGAAAATACGTAGAACCAATGACAGTCTCCATAGCAATAAACATCCCAAGAGCCTATCTAGACTCTGCTCCCTAAATCTCATTCCCCGTTAAAAAGAATCAAAGCTCATTATAGAAATGTCTAATTCCTGCTCTAGGATAGAGTTTATAAGGTGAGCCTGGAAAAAATTGTGACACAAAGCAAAGAGGTTCCCTTGCTAGCAAAGAATAATAATAAAATCATTTCAGAAAGACCAATTAGGTCAGTTTCCACTAACCTAAAAATGGGATAATCTGAACATCAAATTAAATAATATGGATTGAAATAGAAAAAAAAAATATATATATATAAATCTGTGGATTCAGAATTACACTTCAGATATTTTATTACTAGTTTTACATTTTAATATTTTATTTTTTGGTTATATACCTAGGAGTGAAATTAATGGGTTGCATGGTATGTGTATATTTAACTTTTAAGAAACTGCCAAATTGTTGTACCATTTTATATTCCTATCATCAGTGTTTAAAGAATTCCAGTTCCTCCACGTACTTGCCAACATTTGGTATGTTCAATATTTTAGTGATACCTGATTGTGTTTTTAATTTGCATTATGATGTTGAACATCTCTTCGTGTGTTTAGTGGCCATTCATATTTCTTTTTTGGTGAAGAATCTGCTCTTAATCATTTTGAGTTCTAAGAGTTCTCTATTGTGGATATAAATCCTTTATCAGATAAATGCATTGTGAATATTTTTAACCAGTCTTTTTGTTTTCACATTGGTGGCTTTCAAAGAGCAAAAGTTTAAAATTTTGATAATGTTTAATTATCATTATTTTTTTCTTTTACGGATAGTACTTTTGGTGTCATATCTAAAAAATCTTTGCTTCCCCGAAAGTCTCAAATTTTTTTTTTTATAGGAGTTTTGTAGTTCCAGATTTCACATTAAACTGTAGTACACATTTTGAGTTGATTTCTTTTTTTTGTATGGTAGGCTGTATCGATCAGTGTTTGTTTTTAAAAATTTGAATACTTAGATGGTTGGACAACATTTATTGAAAAGACTTCCCTTTCTCCTGTTGAATTGCCTTGGTATCTTGGTCAAAAATCATTCGATCTGTTTCTTGACTTGATTTTGTTCCATTGATGTATATGTCTGTCCTTACACAACAGCAGTCTGAATTACTATAAGTAATAAAGTAACATATATAGTATATAAATATAAAGTAAACTTTATAAAATATTGAAATCAAATGTTACAGAATACATCCTCCAACTGTGTTCTTTCTAAAATTGCTTTGGTCATTTTAAATTTTTTGAATTTCTTTATAAATCTTAGAATCGGTATGTCAGTTTCTACAAAAATGCCTGTAGGAATTTTGATGTGATTGTGTTGAATCTTGGGGAGAATTTGGGCAGCATTGCCATTTAAACAATGTAGGATTTTCCAATCTATGAAAATGCTTTATCTCTCCATTTACATAGGTCAAAGAAGTTAGGGTAGGAGACCAGATATTTTGACGTTAATGTTAAACCACCGTGAGTCTCACAATTACTGTTCCAACACTGATGTCAAAAGTTTGGAAAACTTTTCCTCTGCCTCTCCCTTGCTCCTCCCCCTCTTTCTCCACTTTGTCCTCCTCCTCCTCATTCCCCTCCTCTTTTTTCCTCCTCTTCTACATCTTTTTTACTGAAAGCAAATTTATCACAGGCTCAGTTTTTGATTCATAGCCTATCTTTGTCCTCTTCTGTTTAAATTTTTTATATTGTTTCAGTTTCTAAATATCGAATCTATTTAGAAATGTGTTGACAGTGAAGTGTGATAATACATTGTCCAATATAGAAACATGAAACTGTAAGTAGCACAGTGGGCAATATCCATTTTGCGGTCTGAGATAATACCTCTTTCATTGGATTGCCATGAGAATCAAATGAACTAAAAGCATGTGAAAGCTAAAACAGCAAAATGTTGTTATTAATGTTTTTATTAACAAAGAAGCACCCAAATAACCTTTTTAAAAAAATGAGATATAATTGATACATAACATTGTATTAAAGTGTACAACATAATGACTTGACATATGTATATATTCTGAAATGATGACACAATAAGTTAACATACATCATCATCAGAGTTATAAAATATTTTGTCTCTGTGATGAGAGCTTTTAAGTTCTATTCTTTTAGCAACTTTCAAATATACAGTACACTATTATTAACTATAGACAGCATGCTGTACATTACGTACCTGGAACTTATTTATTTTTTATTATTTTATTTTTATTGTATTTTTTCCCATTACCGTTTATCCCCCTTATACCCTCTTCCACCTCCACTTTCCTCCCCCGCCCCCTCCCCCTGGTAGTCACCACAGTGTTATCCACGTCCATGAGTTCTTTTTCTTTTTTGCTCCAGGACATAACTGAAAGATACGTCTTTTACCTTTTGACCACCTTTACCGATTTCTCTCATATTATTTGCAAAACTTTTTATTTTTAAGTTTCAGACTGGACTAATAAGATCCACTGATGTTTCACTTTCATTTCTGTACTCCTCAACCTTTTCCTTTCTTCTTTCATGTAACTACTATTTTATTAGTTTGTCTATTTCCATTGTTTCTTTTGGAAAATATAAGCAAATATATATATTCCTATTTCATGACCACATAAACACAGAAGGTAGCATGGTATAAATACTCTCTGTACCTTGGTGTTTTAATTTATTGATAATGCCCTATATATCACTTAATCTCATATCAATATGTAGGAATTCTCCTCATTCCCTTTTGCAGCTACATATTACTCTGTTTCGTGGTGATGCCATAGGTTATTTAACTAGACCTCTATTGATGCACATCTGCTTTGTTTTCAGTCTTTCAGTGTTTGAAAAATAGTGCTGCCAGTAATCTTGTGCATATGCTATTTGGTAGTTTTGCTAAGTGATCTTCAGGATATTTTTCCTGTCAGTCATGCCACTGAATCAAAGAGTAAATGCATAGGTAATTTTGCTAATATTGTCCCAGTTTCTTTCCATAGTAGTTACATCATTTTGCATTTTCACTAGGAGTCGATATAAGTGTCCGTATTTCCCCACAGCATCATCAAAAATGTTGTCAAACTTTGAGATTTTTGCCAATCTGATAGTTCACTTCTTTTAATTTAGATCGGCTCATGTATATACCAGTTTCTTCGTTGATCATTCTTCCTGTACGTTAGACTTTCCATTTAGAATTACTTTCCTCCTTCTCAAAACACACGCTTAATAAACCATCACATGTAATCTGTTTGGCTTGGAATTCTTTGTGCTTCCTGACTCTGAAGTTCCATGTGTTTTAATTCTGGAAAATTGTCCACCATTATTTCTTTAAATAGTGCCTGTCACACATTCTCTCTATTGTCTTCTCTTGGAACTTCAAGTAGACATAATTAGACCTTATTTTTTCTCCCTTGCTTTTTACTAGCCCTTTGTATTTCTCTCTCCTTTCTGCTGCAGCCTGGGTCATTAATCCCATGGTAATTTATTCAGCTCTCCCTTCTAGGTTTATAATTTATTTTTTTAACTCATGCAATACCTGACTATTTAGTTAGAGATACTGACTCTTTTTCCTTATATACACAACAGTAGCCACCCAGTATGAATGAATCAAAATTATACTTAGTTTTTGTCAGATTGGCAAAAAATACGTTTTTTGGCGTGCTGCAGAGATTTAGTAATTAGCTTATGTGTGCCATAAGATGACAAAGGTCAAAATTGCAGTCCTAAATAAATACGGAGTAGTATTAAGAATTCTAAAGACCTGTGTTTTCTTTCCATAGGAGTAAAACACAAATCTTTTCTAACTGTTGAGGACTGCTTTGAGTTGGGCAAAGTGGCCTACACAGAAGCAGATTACTATCATACAGAACTGTGGATGGAACAAGCACTAAAGCAGCTGGAGGAAGGCGAGGTTTCTACCATTGATAAAGTCTCTGTTCTAGATTATTTGAGCTATGCGGTGTACCAGCAGGGAGACCTCGATAAGGCACTTTTGCTCACAAAGAAGCTTCTTGAACTAGGTATGTTAACTTGGCCTAATATTTGAATATATATCTCATATAGCTTTGGCACTTTTTATTTGTTAGAATTCAACTGCCTCATTTATCAAACATACTTTATCCTCTTTCTGATTATCCTCTAAATAAATGGCAATTGATTTTTCTCACCTGATGGTATTACAACAGTAGCTGTGTTTCTCTGTTCTGTGCTCTTAAGGAATTTTAAAATTGAACCTAATCTAGCTAACCCAGTCAAAAATATTTATTTAACAAGTTGCCATATTAAATATTAATCAGTTTCCTTTGAAGGATTTTTTTGGTTAATTTCATTTCATATTCAAAAACAGTGATTTGAAATAGATTGAAAATATATTTGTCATATTCAAATGTTAGAAAAATATGGTATCTTATGAGGATTTTACCACTCGTATTTTAAACAGAGATGTAGTACGATCTAAGTATGATCCAGGGACCAGCACATCAGAATTATTTGGATACTTATTAAAAATGAAAATTCCTTGGTTTCCACCCCAGGCTACTAAGTCATAATCTCTGGAGATGGAGTTGTATGCTAATAAATTCAGGTGACCTTTGGTATGTAGTAAGCCTTAAAACTTAAGAAAAATTAGTTATTTTATGAACAGATAAATAACATATCAGAAGAATGAAACAGTTCAAAAGGATAGGTCATCTGAAAGTGAATTTTTGATAATTAGGTTATTAGCTGAATGAATAAATTGACTTCTTAATTCAAGTACCCTTTTTTCAGTATTTTTTAGTGGTTTTTTTCTCTTGACCTAAAAAACTTTACTCATGGCAAGAAAGTTTTAAAAATAGAAAAAAAGTACAGAAGAGTCACCTATAACTTAATCACCCAAAGATACTTACAAGTTATTTTGTTTCCTTGTTGTATATATCCCCTTCACACGCACACTTTTCCCTTTCTTTTACAAAATTAGGCTCATATTGTATATCACAACGTATATTGTGAGGAGTTTCTCAGAGACAAGAAATATTTTACAAATAAAGCTAGATTTCCTAAACACTTCAACGAATGCCACAAGTGAAGTTTCTACATACTATTTTGCCTGTTTTGTTTGTGTGTGTGTGTTTTCTCACCGGATGGGTGGAGTAAATTCTCTTTGCCTTACTGAAAGATAGCTAAAAATTATGATTAGCAATTCAAAGACAATTAGTGGATTCTGGCTTATTTGAAAATTATATATTTAGTTTTTCTTCTCTGTCTCATTTAGAATGGGGCTAAAATCTACTCAGCCCTCAGAAGTAGGCTGTGATCTACATTTATAATTTATCTGTGGTAAAGGTTGCTTTTGAACTTATACAGTGTCTTTCCCATGTTAATTACATTTCAGTCTCAGATAAATCTTTTCTGTTGCTTAAAATAAGAGAGATACTTAAAAAATTCATTTGACATATTGATCATACACAGTTCCTTTGGCTAATTAGTAAGTTCTGAAAGTAGAAGCAGTAATTGCTATTTTGAAATAAATGACTGGTTCTGTCTCCAGAATTCTTTTTATATAGAGGGTCTGTGTGTCCTGCTTTACTTGGGGCTGTACTGGTTTACACCTGTTGTTTTGGCATAATTTTTACTAGTGCCTTCTCTTGGTTTGGAATATAAATTGTATGGTTCTCTTTTATATTATTGTATTCTGATGTTTGAACAACTGTAAACTTACTCATGGACATGCTCTTTCTCTTCTAATAGATCCTGAACATCAGAGAGCTAATGGTAACTTAAAATATTTTGAGTATATAATGGCTAAAGAAAAAGATGCCAATAAGTCTGCTTCAAATGACCAATCTGATCAGAAAACCACACCGAAGAAAAAAGGGGTTGCTGTGGACTACCTGCCAGAGAGACAGAAGTACGAAATGCTGTGCCGTGGGGAGGGTATCAAAATGGTAAAGTGGAAAAGCCAATTGTGTGTGAATGTGTGCATGTGTGTGTACATAGTTCTAGAGAGAGTCAGGGTTTTTTATATTTAAGTCTATGTCATGAAAATCAGATTACTGCATAAAGGTTTATAGTATGCCACACCTCCTTTTTTGTGAGTCACACTTTATGCTCCAACTGTTAGTAAAATCCTCTTAAAATAACCCTTGTGAATCACATACCATTACATGTGTTTTTGGTAATATTACCCTTTTCATAGTTTAAAAGGTGAAGGATCAGATAATTTAAAGGAAGTGGTCAAGTTTTTTCTTATATCTTAATGCAAAAGGAATTTCAGCTGTCTTAAGTAGAAACAACCATTCTAATCCATCCTATGAAATACTGAATTCATCTATACAATAATCTCTTGTGGTTTTGCTACTAGTCAGCCTTGACAAGATTGCTCAGTAAAATGTTTGTCTATTTCAGAAATATTAAAAATGCAGAAAGACTTTCAAGAGACTTTGGCTTTACTATTCTTTAAAATACTAAAATGTGTATATAAATATCCCTTTGTTTATTGTCTATCTATATTTATGTATTTATAGCTTTGAGTACCAGTGCTTTAGGATGGTAAAAGAGCATAGGCCAAAAACAAAGCATTCAGGTCTGAGTAGCGTAGGTTTTTGGTCAGCCTCGGGACTTTTCAGAGCCGTTTTACGATAATATGTGTTATGGATATGGTATTCATTGCTTCTCAACATTAACTGATAGTGGAACTCTCTTTTAAAGAATATCATGTGGTACTACTGTTTACTTGAATGTGGGCATACATAGAAGGAATTGAAATAGTGAACTTTAAAAGTATTTTTAGGTGTAAAGATTAGAATAGTGTTTATCACTTCTCTACAGCAAACAGACTTCCAGCTGGGCTTTACATTTTGGTATTGATAACTTTTGATGACTTATTGTTGACAGCATAACCTCTGATAGCAAACAAGTAGCTCATGTTTATGTTGACAGCTTTGAGTGTTTTAAATTCATGGAGTCCTGGAAGAACATGCCTACTATTGTTTTGGGAGCTAATCAGTAAAGACGAGGACAATAACACTTTGTTAGACACATGAAATGTTTTTAGAAATTTCACATCTAAATATTTTAGTACCTTTTGAAGATAAGGACTGTGAAAAAATAACCACAGTACCATTATCACACCTAAAAAACTTCACAGTGGTTTCATAATATCATCTAATATCTAGTTAAGTATTTATATTTCCAGTAGTGAACGCATATTTTTAATAACTTAAAGAAGAGAGCAGAATAGAACCAAAGTATAAAACCTTGCTCTGCTAGTTTGCCAGTTTGTTGATGTGACACACAGATGTCAACCCTGCCCCAAATCAAATTCCCCTCATCATTATATGAAAGATTTATTTGATAAAAAGCTTTGAATTTTACCCTAGGTTAATAACAGACATGAAGAGTAAACATGAATCATTATTTGTTTTAGTATGTTAACTAATAATTAGAACAACACCTGATATTATTTCTATTTCATATATGACATACTGTTTAGTCAAGAAAATCAGCCATGCAAAAACTTATTTAGTTAATATAATACATAGGTGATTAAAAGAAATATTTGCTTCGTTGACCTCTCTTTTTTTAAATGCCCACTAAATAAAAGCACCTGGCTTCTTTGTTTAATAGCTTATTTTCTCTTGTTCAGAGCTACCGATTTTTCTTTTTGCTTTAAATATTTTTTTTTTATCTTTTGCCACAAGCATTTAACTGGGAGCTATTTAGAAAAACCTGGTTAGGTTGAGTTTTGTTTGTTTTCCTTTTAGAAACTTTCTTGTTCTGGGTGTTTCACAATTACTCTGTGAAGTTTGGAGCAATACTGATCATTCATTTAATATGTTCATAAACATTTCTTTCATGTTTATAACACCTGAATTCTATTTTGATAAGAGGAGGGTTATAGAGAAATCTCCTTTTTTTCTTATTTAAGGCCTATCATCTCTCTGCCAGAAGATAATCATTAATAAAATTTTTTAAATCCTGAAGGCCCTGCTTGATGCAAAATATTTGCAGAGAACCGTCTCTTTTTTGTCTTCTTCCATAGATAACTCTGTGGATACACAAGCATGATTATTGCTTATTATTTGCATAGGAACAAGCATTAAAAATATTATTACTCTAACATATATATCATTATTTTAATCTTACATTTAGACTCCTCGGAGACAGAAAAAACTCTTTTGCCGCTACCACGATGGAAACCGGAATCCTAAATTTATTCTGGCTCCAGCCAAACAGGAGGATGAGTGGGACAAGCCTCGTATTATTCGCTTCCATGATATTATTTCTGATGCAGAAATTGAAATTGTTAAAGATCTAGCAAAACCAAGGGTAAATAACTTTCTTTTTCTCTTCTTAATTTACTATGCCTTTGTATCAGTTTTTCCTTTGCAAGGTTACACAAATGATCATTGATAAGGCAATAACCCCACACAGATAGTTATAGATGTCATTCCCACAGTATAATGGAGTTGTTAACTAAATTGCATTTATACCAGTTTTTCCTCAGTTTGTTATCAACCCAAATAATATATTTTGGAAATTGGTTTTTTAAATTAAGTTTATTGGGGTGACATTGGTTAATAACATTATATATGGAAATAGGTTAAGCTCTTAATCATGAAAATTATAGATGAGATTTTTATTTCACATTTAACAAATTTGTTTCAACATTTTCCTGAAAAAGTTTTCTCTGTACTGTGTAGTCCTTTTAGTCTCAGAGGCTAATCAAAAATCAGTTTTTTCATTTTTCTATATTTTTATCTGAAAGAAACTTGAAGTGTTTTTATTCCCTTTTAGGCATATTATTACTAGAAAGTAATAATTTGGCACAAGCATCATGCTAATTTGAAATAACAACATCATAGTGTTCTGACTTCAACTCATACATCATTTATCTTAATAAGAAAAACAATTTAGTCCTGGCCAGTGTGGCTCCATTGGTTGGAGCATTGTCCCATAAACCATAAGGCCATGAGTTCGATTCCCAATCAGGGCACGTGCCTAGGTTACGGGTTCATTCTCTGGTCAGGGTACGTATGAGTCGCACCTGATCAGTGTTTCCCTCACGTTGGTTTCTCTCCTACTCTCTCCCTCCTTTTCCCTCTCTAAAATCAATAAGCATGTCCTCAGGTGACAATAAAAATAAAAGAAAGAAAGAAAAACTAATGTTAATGCCATCTTATAAACTTAGTGTTTAGTGTAGAAGTTCTCTTTTTTGTGAGAATGTGAGAAGACTACGCTTTATGCTCTTGCCTTTTTTCTTTTTAAACCATTAGCTTGTCATTAAAACATGTTTCATCTTCTTGATAGAAAAATACAAACTGCCATTGCTTTTCCAAAGAGATTGTTAAGTAAATATTAGGCACATTGTTGCTCTTTTATGACACTGGAGTTGGCAAATATCATCCTCGTAGGTCCAGGTAGGAAATATTTTTTAGGCTTTGCAGCCACATAGTCTGTGAAAAACCATTCAGCTCTACTGTTGTAGTGCGGCAGCAGCCATAGAAAATATATGAGTAAGTGTGGCTATATCCCAATAAAGCTTTTATTTCCAAAAGCAGGTGGCAGGCTGAATTTGTTCCATGGGTTATCATTTACTGACCCTTATTATATCATAAAGGTTGAATTATCAGGATATCTGTACAGCAAAATGACCTTAAAGTTAGAATTTTGTTGTTGTTAAGTTTTACTACTTTTCCAAATTACTATTTTTTGTTCTTTACAGAAGATTACATTTTAAAAAAATGGAAAAGGCTGTCTAGTAAATACGGATGCTTTACAAGTGAATTCTTATAAATTTTTACTTACAATTACATCATATTCTATCATTCTGTTTTGGATTTCTATTTTGTTCCATTATCTGTGGTCAGTAAACCCATAAACCAAAGTGTCTTAGTAGACTATTTATTAGGAGTCCAGGTTTGGAGGCCAAAGTCTTCAAAAGGGATGCCTCAGTTTTATTATTTTGATCAAGAGATTCAGTGGCACTAAAAATTTCATATTCTTTTTGTTAACCTCAGAACCACCCTCCATTTAAAAAAAGTTTAAAATCATCTCCACTGTCATCTTTTTCTTAATATCTTTGACATTTATGAGTTCTTTTCATTTACATTGTACTCGGTCCACGATTATTTGACTGTATAAGTGAAATATGTATAAGCCCATATCTTGAAGGAAGAAAAGATTGGCTTTGAAACAAGTTTTGAACATTAACCTTTGCAAAACAGTATCATCATTTAAAAAAAATTAAAATTAAAAGTTTGGAATGGATCTTTTAATTGCAAGTAGCCATTCTTACAACTAAATTAGACTTCAAATTTCTCTTCACTGTCACATCCTCAAACCTTTGAAAGAAATTTAATTTTAATCTCTTTTCTTTCTGTACTCTCTATTCATGCAAAAACAAAAAAATTTAAAAATAACTTTTTTAAAAATACAAAACCTAAAAAAACCAGTGGCTCTTGAAGCTTAACACAAGGTGACTGGAAATCCTTGGAATTATTTTCTTTTCAGCTTCCAATGTAAAAATCCCAGAATTCTGACTGGTTGGGTAAATGTGATTCATTTTTTTGTTTTGTAATGCAAGTATTTTGATGGTTGGCTTCACAGCTGAGGCGAGCCACCATTTCAAATCCAATAACAGGAGACTTGGAGACGGTACATTACAGAATTAGCAAAAGGTAAGAGATGTGTATGCTGCATATTTTGATCTCTAATGAGTGTTTTGTACATCCTACAGGAATTATTCATTTAAAGGAAGTAGGTCATTTTCAGTCTCCAGCTCAAGTCACCACCTGTTTATATCCGCATGGATAAACCGCTTTGTTTCACAGGTCTTTCCCTTTAACTAGAAGTTGTGTTTTTAATCTTTAATTGGTCTGTTATTTTTAGGGAATTAAGGAGCTTTGCATCTCTATTCGGTTCGGAATTAAATATCCAGGAAATGGCTTGTTAGGTTTTTCCTTTTTCCCTTTTCTTGCCAAAGGGGGGCAAAATGAAAAAGCAGCAGCCTGGGTTAATCTGGGAGTAGTCTTTGTTTATGCAGCTCTTTCACATTCATAAATGCTGCAGTGAATTCATCATCCTTCATGGAGATTATGTTGGCATTTGTTCATACATCTTGTAAAATAGCGTTGTCATTTTGGAGTAATCTGTATTCCTCCTGTTGGAGTTTTTATATTAAAAAACACCAAAATTTGTTGATTTAAAAGTTGGCAATGGAAAGTACAGAGTTATTTTTCTGATCTGTCTTCCAACTGCTATTACTTATGAATTTAGTTGCCTTTTACTTTGCCAGACAGACTTAACAACAGTCTTGTCTTGGTGAGAGTTTTAAAAAATGAATTTAAAAAGACTACTAGTTTTTCTTTTGTCATAAAATTTAAAGAGCATTAAACTTCTAGATCTGAGGAAGTTCCTGTGAAACCCAGTGCTTCATTTACATACAGCTTCAAATGATTATTTATTTTAAAAAAAGTGAAAGGACAATAAATCTACAACAAAAATTTGTCAACTCGTTTTCTTTTGATTTGGAAGTGGCTTTTCTAACTGCCACCTTTCTAAATGTTTTTGCTGATTTGAAACCATTACCTACCATCCAGACCAATCTGAACCCTTCCAATCACCTGTGGCTTGGCAAAACAAAACAAACAAAAGTCCAAAATTGCCTGCTACGTGAGTAAGTTCTTGTCCTTTCTCTTTTTTTGTAGCTGAGCCGAGCTACAGTACATGACCCTGAGACTGGAAAATTGACCACAGCACAGTACAGAGTATCTAAGAGGTAAGGGAGTAATGCAGAGAATATTAGTCATATTTGGACCATTTTCTTTAAGAGAATCTGATTTCCATAAAACCCATTATATATGGTTTCAGAGATGTAGGCTGTTAGGCATAGGTGTTTGGTGACAACCATGCCTGAATTTTCATGATGGACTAATAAACAGACATGGTTATGGGGCAGTTAACAGAGATTTTCCAGAGTAACTTACTAAATTTCAAAATCCCTGCTGTGACTCCCCAAACCCTACCAGCAAAGTGAAGTTGTATTCTCATATTGAAGAAGTGTTCCCGAAGACTCTTCATAGAACAAGGCTATCTTAGTCTATATATATATATAGTAAAGCAGGGGTTTAAAAATCTCTGGGTCACCCAGCAGCTGTAGGTATTAAGAAAGTAAATGCCTTCAAAGATTATATAACAAATCTTTTGCAGGTCAATTGGTTTTAAACTATTTGACTTTCACAGTGTTTAAAGAGAATCTACTCAAGTCTAGATCACTGAAATAATTTTTAATAATAGATAACTGTGTAATTTATGTATGTAAGGTAGAAGGAGCTCAAAAAATAAGTGACATTATTCCAACAGAACTCCTTTTCCATCTGTTTCTTTATGTAAAGAAAGTTTCCTAGCTATCGTAAAAATGAAAATAGAAGTATGATTGAGCCGAATTCAGTCTCCTTCTAGCAATAAGTAATATTTATTTACAAATATAATAACTAATTGACAGTAACAAATAAGGACACTTCAATATATTTTCACTTTTCATATTTGATAATGACTAGATTACTTAGATTAACTATATTACTGATAATGTTACTTAGATTAACTATATTACTGATAATTGTAGTAAGTCATTCCAGAATATTATAGGAAATTTATATTTTATAAATTTATATAGATATCTTTGTTGTAGAGAAGTATAATAGGATTTTTTAAAAAGACTTTTAGGCATAGAAATACATCACTTCAGGACAGGGCTTCTCAACCTCAGCACCATTGACATTTTGTTGTTGGAGGCTGTCCTGAGCTTTGTAGGGTGTTTAGCAGTATCTCTCACACTCTCTAGATGCCACTAGCACCCTTTTCCCTAGTTGTGACAATCAGAAATGTCTCCAGACATTGCCAAATGTCATCTTGTAGGCAAAATCTTCACTACCATTCCCCAGGACTCCCTGTGTCCACACACATTGAGAACCACTATTCTAGGATAAGAATAGAATGAAAATGAAAGTCCAAGGGTAAAAAAAGAATGATGTAAAATTGTTAAGTATTAAAAAACACTTTATTCATGCATTTTTTTAAGTAGATGATGGTGGGCATCAAATCATTACGGTATTGAGTCCAGTGGATACATTAAAAAGAAATGATTTTTTAGAAATTATGACTATTTTCAGTATGACAGAACTAAATCTTGTTGAAACTATTATGTTAAAAAATTTTAGTTGTCAACTAGAGAATTGTTCAAAGGAGTACATAAATTTTAAAAACTATTTTAGGAGATACTCAAAAAAAATAAGATATTACTGCGGTAAGTCAGCAAAATTACTCTGAAGCCTGGACAGATTGCACAGATGTGTTTACTTATTCTTTTTGGACAAAGCTGTATGTTCTTCATATATTAACCTTCATCATCCCCAAAAACATATCTTGGTTTTTCAACTCTCTGCCCTATACCACTAGCTTCCCCCTTGCTTCAGTTAGAAGACATAATTAAACTTTCTGTAATACAGTTTTGATTCAGAAACACTAATAGATGGTAAGGATTTGCAGAAACTAATTTGTATTATGCATTGTAATTAACTAATTTCAAGTTAAGCTTAAGCTAATTTTCCATTTTCTTATAGAACCTTTTTTATGTCTAAAAAATTAACCTCTTATCTATTATTGAAAAAAATACTTAAGCCATTATATATTTTATCAGAGATTATTGCAGGGTTTTTAGGCATTTTTATTATGATAAGGCTTGTAATCATCCAAGTTCTCCATATTGGAATGCTTTTAGGAAACATGTAAAATAAAATTTCATGAGGTTACTGTTTTGAAAGTCATTTTTGGATATTTTTTATAAATACAGTAGACTTCTTGAAGAAATCCAGCCCACAGAGTCATTGGATTCTTACCAACAATTCAAAATAAATTATTCTTGGAAAAGTGACCTACAAGCATTTTTTTCCTTAAGAACTAGATATTTCTAAATATTTTGAACTTACTTTTTAATTATTCTAAATTGTATAGTTCTGAGAATCACTTTTATTTAGATTTTTGAGAAAGGTACAACCATACTTTATATTAATTACATATGGCAGCAGAAAACATGTAATGAGTAGCATTAGAAGTAGAAGACTGAGTAACATGAAGATAAATTCACTCAGTCTTGGCAAAGTATACAAAGTGTGTGTGTGCATGTGTGTGTGTATTTCTGTTCAAGATAATCTAGTAAAAAAAGGAATTTCATAGCACAACGATTTTCACCTTTATTGTTGGGAAAACTGTTCAGCAGCCCTTTTAAAAATAAAATACATGTTGAAAGAGAGGGTCTTAACTGTTAAAGAGGAATTTACTCCATAAAATGTCCAATAAATTTCACATTTTAACAAAAAAATAAGTTTTTACTGTTTTCAGGATTTAATAGCAATGTTGGGATATTTTCTACCCATCACTGTAAATCTGAATTTCGAAGACTCCTACAAGTGAAATATAGAGTATTTTATGTTTCCTTCATATAGTATACCTCTGAAAAAGGGCATCTAAAATGCAAAATAGAAGAAAGAATTTATGTATATTGATGTTAATTGATGTAATTCTTTTGCTCTGGAAACATCTGTATTTGAAAGGGTCAGAAGGGAATTTCAGATACCGTATTTGAGAAATTTCTAAGTGATTGCATCATTTTCTGTAGAAGTAAAAATATGTATTAGTGTTCTAGCAAATAGAATTTTCTTTGGGCAAAAGTATGTGTGTTAAATCCATTACTGTTTAAAAAACAAAGTTTTTATTATTTTATTGACTCTCTATGAACTTTTGGCAAGTTGTCTCTGTCTTTGCCAATATTAAAAAAAAACCAAAACCCTAAAAATTTACTAGAGCTAGTTAATGGAGGAGCTGATAATTTTGGCTAAATTAGAGGAATGGAATTTTAGTTTTGAAAGGTAAGCATTCAGTTATGTACACTGAAAAGACAATGTAGGTATGAGAGCTCATGAAGTCCAGTTAAAGTAATAGAGATGAGATACACAAATAGCCAACCTGTTTAGTGTGGTGGGAAAAGCTTCTTTAATTCTGGTGGGTTATTCTTGCAAGTGGTTTTGATTTGTTTAGATTCTAAAGTACAGATTTCCTACAATAAGATATTTTATTGTGCTTGAGATTTAATTTACCCATGTTAATGAGAAACAAATACAGTATAAAAGTGTATTAATACCTTTACAATATAAGGACAAATACAAATAGCTTTGAATGATTTCAGTTTTTTAAAAAATTGGAATAACTTAACAATAGCATTGCCCTCTATTGGGTTGATAAGTGCTTCTCAGATTGAGATAAGTGAAATTGACAGATTTATAGTAGTATTGCATAATTTTCCCACTAAGAACCAGAGGGACTAGTCTGGATGATTAGCCTTCCTTTGTTAACTCAAGCACTTAGAGAAAAGAATTTTTGAAAATTTTGCCCTCCATGACTGGCCTTTTGGACCCTGAATTATCTTTTGGAAAAAAATCATAGTGTGCTATACGCCTGAAACTAATACAAAATAATGAATGTAAACTGTAATTGAAATAAATACATACATAGGTTAAAAAAAATCACCTAGTGTTTTTGTATTCATTGATATTTTCATTTGGAGGTTTGTTACAGTCTTCAAAACCTACAAAATGGTATTGTTTGTTTACTTGAGCGTGCC